CCCTCGTGTACTCAGCATCCAGAGAAGAAAGGAGAGCAACAGGCGAAGAATCGGAGCTAGAACTGGACTTGCTTTTCCTTCCCGCCCCCGGCGTGCGTGCCATGTCATACGAAAGCCACAAGGTTGTATGCCAGTCGACAGTCGCCATGACATTTCAAATTTACGGGCTATGACAAAGTGAGTTAAATGCATTTTGAGAAGTACTCTCAGCCGGGGCAAACACAGCCCTAGAACTGAAAAGAAAATCCCCAACAAAAAGCAAAAAATGAGTAAGGGGCCAAGAGCAGCTGCAGCTGCTGCTGCATCTTCAGCGGCAATCTGCCCTTTTGATGTTGCTGCAGACCCAACTTCTACATATATTTAAAGATCATGTACTTACTAAAATTACAACGCACACACACTAACACCCCGCACACACACGCACACACACACACACACAAACACATGAATAGAAACGCCAGCAAGTGTTTATGCACTTCGATTGCATGTCTTTGGGCCCGATGTGGCTCCAATAACCGACTTTCCACCCACCGACATTCTGCGCCCGCTGCTGCTTCCGCTTCTGGTGTTGTTGTTATTTGCAAAAGTTATTCATACGCCACGTTGACAATAGTAGAAAATGCAATTTATGTTGGAAAAACATTGCGTAAGTGCATCTGGGGCGAAATTCAAGTAGCTGCTGCTAGGCTCCCCAACAAAGCAACGAAGACTACGGCACACACAGCACTAGGCAGGGGTGGGTTCAAGTTGGTTATCTAGGGGTTTGGATAGCCTTCACATTGTAAAAATATTTATTTGAATATTAAATCGTGCTTACCAAACACCTTTTTGTTTAAATGTTTATTTTTAATGTTATTAAAAGACAAAAAACCACCTTCCAGGTGACAAAAATTATCATAACGATTTAAAACAATGTTTAAATTTTAAATAAATATTTAAGAAGACATTTAGATCAGCAATTACAATAATTGTGAGCTTTAAGGCATAAATATTATCTTCTTAAAAAGGGGTTTGTTTTTGGAAATTCTATAATACAGAAAGTAAAAAATCGTATTTTTGCTGATGAAGTAAAAACTGTTTGATAATAGTCTTAGCGCATAATTGTCTTATATGATTTTAAAGTAAGTTAATAATTTTCTAAAGTTCGTGAGCCCTTTTAAAAGGGCCCTGCTGCACCTCTGCTATTAGACACATGCACATGCTGAGGCTCAGGCTCAGGCTCAGGCGGTGGCAGGCAGTCATGTAAAAGCGTTGCCATATAAAACATCTAGAAATTCCAATAAAATTTTCATGCAATTTTCCTCACACCGCTTTCACATGCAGAGTGAGCTGTTGCGCCCCCCCGATCTTCCCCGGCTCTTGGTCTTTTCCTTCTGGCCAACTCATGGCTTATGCCGCCTCTTCAACTCAACCCTTCTTCATGAGAATGTGTGTGGTTGCGGGAAAAGCATATCTAAGACACTCAATAAGTAAAATAAACAATGCCAAGAAAGTGCCAAAATCAATTGGCTTTCTAAATGTCAGTCAGAGTGGGTGTGCACTCATCTTTGAGATGGACATCAACTGGGCCAAGGCCACAAGCAAATAGAGAATTCTTTATTGTAAACAACAAATTAATTGTGGCACACCTCACCTTTGGCCCCAAATCGATGGACACACTTTGAATCCTTCGAAATTTCTGGATAAAGTTTATGCAGATTGCTGGCACACCGAATAAATTTTAATTTTGGTTCAAATACTTTTTAATTTATTCCTCTATTTGTGTGTTATTTTTTTCCCGACCATACAGTAAAATTCAACCTTTTGATGTTGCTGCAATATTAAGATTTTGGGTATAAAGTTGATTGAAGCGGGTGGTTTTTTTTCTGTGGGTGGCGGGCGGCAGTAGTGGCCAGGCCAATTTAGCAGCGCTTAGCCACAGGACGGGGTGAGTTGGACAAATTTCATTGGACGTGGCGAAAAATTTCATTTAAAATATATTTTGCACACATCACAAGTGCGGCAGGCTGCAAGTGTAATTTATGCGTCTTCACACACTCGCACACGACCAGTGAAAATGTGTAATGTTGACCCGATGCCAGGGATGTCCTGGCTGGTCCTGGCCGGTCCTGGCTGTAGCTGCTGGATGTCCTGCCAGCCATGGCTCGACGCTTTTCATTTTTCTGTTTTGGGGCTAAAATACCAAATTACGACATAAATAATGCATAGATAACGAAATTTATTACATTTCATGTATCAGGCCGGCTGGCAGACAGTTGGGCGAAAGTCCTGGTTCTGGTTCTGGTCCTGGTAATGGTCCTGAGCCTGGAACGAGTCCTGGTTTGGGCCACGTCCGGCTTTTGGGTCAGCAAAAGTTTCACATCAACCGGGCCACTGCTGGAAATGTTTGAACGGGCGACACTGTCGCCTCCTTAATTTATGGCTCGTGTTAGTTTCTCTGATTTGCCAGGCAAAAGTTTATCGAAGCATTATATTGCTTCTGCGACTTGCAGTTTAAAAATGTAATTGTTACAAGGATTAATCGACTGCACCCACCCCCAGCCAGTAATACAATGCAAATTCATATATTCAAATTCCAATCAAATTACTGGCGACCAGTTTTTCTACCGCTTGTTTATGCTACGAAAATGAAGTTAGCTGAAAGTGCGCCAAACAAAAAATGCAAAACTTTATGCGGTTTTTTTTTTTTGTTTGCGCTTGGCAGGCGACGTCGCTCCGGCTTCAGATCCGCGTCAGCTTCACTTGACGGCGATGCGGATGCGGATGCGGATGTCTTGCTCATATCGCAGCCAGTTGCTTATAATTGCATTTGCATATTATTTCCCTTTTATTGCACATGTCGCCCGGCTTGACATGCCATCACTTCGGGGGGAACCGACAGAAACCCTTAAACCATTTATTTTTTCACCCTTCTCTCGCCATTTTTGCCAGTTTTATTTCTGTGAAATGTTTATAAAATGGCGGCACGCTTCCGGCGGTAGCAACAACCAGGAAAGGAGGGCATCGCCAAAAGAGTTAAAAGTTAAGCGTCTCTGGTGGGAAAAAATTATACCGAAATAATTTGCATATAAATTATGATTGAAAGCGTCGGGAGCAAAGGTGTCAAGCGCGATGACTGAAGCCCCACTGAAGCGGTCTTAACGCTTCTCCGATCCCAATAAATATGGATAGCTGCCCATCTGGAGGCTACTGAGCCACTGATCCACCGCTGTGTGAGCAAAGCAACAAATATCCCGATAACTTTCCGGACAGAATCCGTTAACTTCTGGGCTGTGGCTGTATCAATGGCACAAAAGTCGTGACAGCAGATGCACATGCACTCAGAAAAAATTTGTTTTATAAATTTGTGAGTCTCCTTTATATTTAAACCCAGTTTTTACAAATTTGTAATTAAAATAACAACATATATGAAAAATGTCCTTGTTGTTTTTTGGATTTGGAATAGAAAAATACATTTTATTTGGAGTGAAGCCTCGAAACAAGAATATTTAATGAAATTTGTACAATATTTAGTTTCACAAATGTTAATTTAGTTCTTATTTACTCCGTTGTGTTTACTAATAAAATAAAAAATAAAATTCTCTACAAAAAAAAAACGGCTTAAATATAATGTTTACATTTTTAATGAGCTCTTTCTTTTGGATAATTTTCGATTTTTTTTGAGTGTGAAATCGGGTTAGTGCGGCAGCAATATCCTGCACACTTGTCAGCATCCCAGCATCCCATTTCATCGGCAGTCCTCGTCCGCAGGTAAACAATGCTAATGCATATGCTTTCGGTTGGCACTTTTGCAGGCGTTTCGGGTGAAGTGTTTCCTGCAGGGAAACGCATGAGATGGCGAAGGCGGTTTTACGTCACAGATAGTCAGCGTCAAGGAGCCAGAGATTTCGGAGGATTGGGTCGGGTGGGGAAATGGTGCACGTGTTTCCCTTTTCAGGGCCCCCAAATCAAATCTGAAATGAATTTACCTTTGTTGATTTGCGACGGCTTTTGCATTTTGGCTTATTACGTACAGCCGTACAAAACGAAACGGGACCAAATCACTAACGTGGCTTGTTGATTTGCTGGCAAACCCCTAGCGATTGCTCGCTCGGATTTCGAAATGAGCTCAAGACAAATGTAAATATTTTTAGTGCTTGCTGGGAAAAGGACGAGCTTGACTGGTGGTGAATGGGATGGCTTTGGTTGGGTCTTATGATGGATGATTGTGTGCTTCCTGTAGATTTGTAGCCGCCGATAAACTCAATTTGTTTGCTTTTAAGTGCGGGTGGTGGGGGTGGTTGAAAAATGGGACGAGGCGTGCTCACAGGATCTCACATTACGCATATGCCGTGTTGTGACTCCCGATTTGCCATCTGAAGACGCAGCTGATTGTCAAAGTTTTTAAAGCCGATACTTACGCTAGTGTGGATCTAAACTTGTCGTGAGGAGTTTATTTTCAATTTGATGAGAACTTCGCATTTTGTCGCCCATTTGCACTTTTCATGACTTTTCTATTGCTGTTGTTTGTTTCGTCTTGTCTCCTTTAGTTTGCTCTCTGGCAGGCGATGAGCTATATACTTTCTACTTATTCCACAATTATTGTTTATATTTTCATAGCCTTTACTCTTAACCTCCAGAATACGAAATGTGCGCAGCCAAGAAAAGGGGATTTAATTGCTTTATTCGCACTGGAACCTGAACTGTGCGCACGGAAAATTATTAAATGCTATTTATCACTCAGGCGACAACGGAAATGTGTCTCTGACACTTACAAGAAGGCCAAAGGAGGGCGTCGGGCGGCGGGAAGTGGCATGTGCAGCTGCTAAGGAAATTGGCAGCATCTGGGAAAAAATTGCACTTGAGGAAATTAAAAGTTGCATTTGAATGCCACGCACGAGCGTAAAAACTAATATCCGCCCTTCAGCTCATTGTTTTGCTGAAAGAAAAAGAATTTATGTTGCTTGGGCCGAGAAAAAGTCACTGTGCGTATCTGAATAATATTTTTAAATTTATTTTAAATTCATTTATTTAATTCACATGCGGTTTACAGTTTACAAAAAAAAAATAAAATGTTTTAATTGATCAATGGTACAGTATACGTTTCATCCTTAAAGTATGCCACGACATTGTGAGTGCACTAGCAGATACTGCCAGAAAGTAGGCAAAGATACTCAATATTTACGCTATGTAAAATGCATGTGTGTAAAAATCTCTGTAAATTCCTAGACATATAACACAAACATGGCTGCTATGGCGGCCAAGAAGGACAGGAACGTCGAGGCATATAACACGGCACAGGTTGTATTCATCCAGGATACAAGCGGACCCACGGACAGGGACACAATTAACTGGGCTACAAACACCATGCTACTGATAATGGCCACATCAGTACCCAATCCTCGAGCCTGTTTCAGCGGCACAGTCTCGCCATTTTTAATGCAGAACTGAAATATACTCAAAATAAGTAAAAATTGTTGTCCAAAACCTCAGTTGGCTTTTACTTACACAATTTTTGGCATGATATCTAGCCACTAATATGAAAGGCACAGTGAAGATTGTTCCGTAGAGAATACCCGCAGATGTGCTGAATACCAGGACTCCCCACTTCGTGGGCCACAAGCCCAGGACCAGCATTCCAATACCATAGTAGATCATGCCACTAATGTAGACAGCCTTTGTTCTGAAATTGAATTATTGCAAAAGATAATTACTATTTAAATTGGCAACTATTCCATTTTGCGTATTTTCGACAAATCATCATGATAGTCCAAAATTAAATTTGTAATCTATTTGCTAAATTTATCATATCTGACGTAGATAGTAGATTAAATTGAGCTAATTTAACTAAGATTTATAATAAGTTAGTAAGTTGATAATCAGGACACTTCGCTTTTTTTTTTTACATTTTACATTTCGAAATTTGCCGAAAAGGGTATTATTTTGTGTGTATAATTTTCAGATTAAAGACTTACCCGAACCACTTCATCAGCTTGGTCACGGACAGCGAGTAAACGGAGCAGGAAAATGCGTATATGGACATTCCCCAGCAGCCGAATCGGACGCCAGCTTCGTAATTCAAAGCGGCCTCTGAATTGGGGGCAGCGGTCGGATCTCCGTGGAAAACTGCCTCGCCCACAAAGTCGGTGAAGTAGAGGCAGTAGGTGACGTGGCCCATCCAGCAGAAGAGATTGGTGAGGGCCAGCATTCGCATCGAATAGGGCATGATGAAGATGCTCTTGAGATAGGCTTTGAGGGAAACAGGAGCCTCGTAATCCGACTGGGTTTCCACGTCCTGCGACTCACGCGTCTTCTCCAAAGCGGGTGAGTAACCATTCTGGTAACTGACTTGCAGGGCCTCCTCTCGCTTGGGATCATCGCTGGCCATCTGCAGCTCCAGCTGAGTGGTCTCCTGGATGTAGTAAATGGTGTTATTCTTTTTCTTCAGCTCCCTTTTGATGGCCTGTTCGGAAAGAGGTCTCAACAGCTCATCCTGCTCGATCAAGGGCAGTGGAATCTCCCGGAAGGTGGTTACCGTGATCAAATAGCACACCGCAAATATAATGGTGACCAGTGTAAATACTGTGGGTATATTTCCGCCCATAAAATTGCCAATGTGTGTCGTCTCCCAGTCCACACCGCCAATGGCATATCCTATAGTTCCTCCGAATCCTGCGAAGAGCGCAAACATGGTCATCGCCTTTGGTTGCTCTTCTGGCACACACATGTCCAGCAAATAGGTGCGAGCAGGTGTCTGACAAGTGTCCGCATCGAAATCCAGCAGCACCATGCCCAATATGGTAAGGATCACGGCAAACTTAAAGTCGGAAGCGGAAGGTCCTGCAGAACGATCACCCGAAGTCAAAGCCGCCACTGAGCCTTCCAAGGAAGTGCTGAAATTCAAGGCCGTCTCCGCGTAATTATATCCTGAATCGCCAAGGAGCAGACCCAGATCCTTGCCATATGGCACCAAGATCAGGCCACACATTATGCCGAATGATAAGATCGAAATTATTGGACGTCGGCGCCCCCAGCGCAGCTTGCACCGATCGCTAATACTACCCAGCAGCGGAGACAGGAAGAATCCGATCAGCGGCGAAAGTCCCCAAGTCATGGACATGTGCTTATGATCCACTCCGATCTGTAAAAGGATCGGGGACACGAAACTCGTCTCCGCCGCATAGGCAAACTCGATTGCCATGGCGATGGCGGACAAACGGAACATCTCGAACCGCGTCTTCCGCCGGAAGACATGAGAGTAGTCCCGATCCTGCTCCCTGGCATGGTTCTCCCGGGTCTTCAGCATGTACTTGATCATCGGGTTCTTCACCGAGGACAGCTGATTCGACTGCGAGGCATCGGCAGCAACTCCAACCATTTTGATGCGGATTTATAGATACTGCTAAAGATGAAAATACGTTATTTTAAATCATGGGATTGCTGTCTTTTTTGGCTATTTAAATGGAACTAGTTTTTTAGTATCTATGAGTCTGAAAATAACATTTAGGTATATATATATATATTTTTTTATAATGCTTTTCCAACTATTAGAGTTATTAAATTAATTATGTCCATTGATTGACTTCGCATTTTAATAGAAATTTTAGTGTTTACTTCGTTGTAAATCATTTTAAAAATAAATATATTAATATGGATCATTACTTAAAGCTTTCTTTCATAATTCGAGATGATATTTTTAATATTGAAAAGAACGCCCAAATAATGATACGTCTTCATTAGCTGAGTTATAATTTCAAACTGTTTTATTTGATGAAGTTTCTTAGTAAGTAAGTTTAGTGTGATTTGTATTCTATTCTTATCTATTGCCTAAGCAGAGACCGATAGAGAGAGAGCTATATGTTAACAAGTATCTTGTGCAGTGTGGGAAACATTTTAAGTGATAATATCTGGATGATCAAGTTACCTGCACTTACAGATTACAAGTGTTAACAACTGCTCCCTTGCTTGGTTTAGGTATCAGATCGTAAATTATGGCTCTAGATGATCGATTGACAAAGTGACATGCACAGGGCTCATAAAATCTTACAATCGGGATTATTATCTTATTTCTCATATCCCACGGAGTGCCTTGTTTAGCCCTAACTACCCTGATACAACTAATAGTCAAAGATATTCTATGACCTCTCTGAGGAGGTCATTTTACATGTTATGTGTATATATAATTTAGTTTGACTCAAGTGACTGCTATGTTTAGCTCGTATACATATATTAAAACGTGTTCATGTTTGAATATTTGTAATATGTTTTACATATCATTGCACCAATATTTTGGGATTTATTTCAAAAATATTGCTTAAAAAAATATTAGTTAACGGCTGCGTCAATGTTCAAAAATGTATTTAGATTAATATGGATCATATCTCAAATCTTAATACAAAAAATTCTTTCAGATTTCGAGGTAGAACTCGACACATTTATTTAAGTCTTAACCGAGATTCATAATAAAACTTAAGATGTTGCCGATTTCTTCAAAAGTTTCCGCTGTTGGGGTGCAGCTTACAAAGTGTATTAGGTCACATCTGGGCTTAATTTCCCTATCGCAATCTTTAATTGCCAAACAGCGGTCGTGCTGTTTCTCATCGCACCAAAAGCCCAGAGCCCAGAGACATTGAACCGATTAAACTAGAAACATCTGGTGCGGCACGTCGAAGAAGCGTCAAAGATCTCTGATTAATTGAGCTGCGCAGCCACGGTGCAGTGGCGAAATATATATATATGAAAATGAATTTCAATTTCAATTCAATTGCACTGGGGCTCGCAATTTGTGTCACTGCCCATAGAGTGCGAACCCTGAACGGCGGCTATTTGTTTACAAACAAATTCAATCACAGCGAAAGACAAACGAGAGTGAATTGTAACATGAGGGCTTATCTGGGTAGCAAAATCGAAATCGAAACTGAGCGTAAACCCCGAAATGGGTTCACAAACCTACACGTAATCGGAATACATAAATAATAAAGACTTTCTTTGAAATATTGTACTGGGAGCTTCGATTGCACCTTTTTTTGATTCGAAGTTGGCAATTAAGATTGTTTGTAAACTGGGAAACAAGTCATAAATACCATTTAGGTCTACATTCTAGTTTAAGAAAATATTGTTTGACAGTAGTAAAAAAAAAACTTTCAAGATTAGCTTGACACTTACTTTGATTCTTAGTGGTCTAATATCACTTTTTTTTTACTGTTTAGTCACTTTTTTTGTATTCGTAATTAGCTAATATCACACTTTGCAAATATTTTTAAACACTAGTCTTCGTTAACTCAATTTCTCTTTTGCTTGAACTTGACAATCAGCCACATTTTCGAATTATTGCGAGCGAACACTTTTGCAAATTGACGGATCAGCGGTTTATATTGGGTTCAATTGTATCTTTGTTGGCGATCTGTAAACGGCTTTCGAGGCGGCACCAAAACTTTCCTACAACCAAAACGTCGCGTGTCCAAATCGAAACTGAGTCTGGGTCTCCGAATCAACGAGTCGCCCAGCTTCTCTATCAAAAGTCTGGCTGGCGAGCGCTGTCTTTGAGCCATTGACCAAAACTTATCTGCTCCATACGTGAGCACTAACAACAAGAATAATAAAATCATAATAAAAGCTCGAATAAATTTAAAATACAAAACATCTAATTTGTACGCCGACAGCTCGAGTGTCATTCCCATTCACATTGTCCACGTATCCGTTGTAATTGAGACAAGTTGCAGGTCATGTGGGTGTACATAACTACTCTCCATCTCCTGGAATCTCAAATTGAAGTACCCCATTTAGCCACGGGTTAGATGACCGGCAGTTTAACGCGTGAATATGCATAAATATTCTCCGAAAAACAGCGGATCGTAATCAAATCGCCACAGACTAGGTCAATAAATGTTTAAATAAACAAAAAGCAACAAAAAGCCACCGACCATATGAGCTTGGCAAATTAATTAAGTCGCCGCTGGCATTAATTGCCCGCTCAATATTAGGAAGTCACTTGATAAGCATTCCGCAGTTGACAACTCTTCGGGGGTTTTAGTGAATCATTCGTCAAAAAAGGGGTCAAGGTTACCTTAGGGATTTGAGGAAGTAGTTTACAGTTTGCTGTCCGTTAGCTAAACAACAACACAGCATTAATTCACACGTCTTCAGCCCAATAATCTGATACATTCCATTGTTTCTGTTTTTCGTCGTTGATTAAACCGTTTTGTAATTAACATGATTATTAAACTGAGCCTACTTAAAATGCATATTACTTTATTGTGGGGGTGTGAACCGCCTGCAAAGCCGATATATGTGAACGTCGGCATATAAGCAGTTTATTTAACCGTCAATTGAGGCGTAATTGATCTTCTTATTGTGCACAAGCATGAACCGTGTCAATAGTTTATTATGGCTCCCTTAATTATATGAGAAAGTTTGCAAGAGATTTATTTAATTGATTAATATCAGGGAACAAAGAGAGCTGTTCAATATTAAGTGCATTTTGGATAAATTACTACCTAGTTATTCAAATAATTATAAAATTCGTTAATCATTGCATAAAACATTACTTTTTAAGGAATTTCGCTATTAAAATGCAGAAACGAATGTGCTATTTATCATACATTTAATAATTTATTACCTTATGTAAATATTGTTGTTTCTTAACTGGTGAAGCCTAAGCCTAAGACACAGCACAGTTTATTCTTTCTGAATTTACATTTGCAACTCTTAAAAGTTAGATAGGACCTTTGAAAGAATTTTGCTAGCAAATATTAATTCTTTTTTTACAAACTTCAATACTGTAAATAATGGAAGCCGATTAGTTGTAATTGGTTTGTTTCAAGCTTACTACATTCTTTCTGTTGTGAACCTTAATGTATAAATTTGCTTAAATTAATTAATTTGTTAAGAGATTGGGCTTACCTTTATTTCTGGTTATCCTCTATCCTCTTCCTCCCAGTTCTATTTGTTGGTGGTTTTGAAATATGACAAAATATTATGTTTTTACGGGTTTATGTTGATTACAACTTTAACGATCACTTTAACTGTTTCGCGGTTTACTTCGGTAATTCACTCACTGCCTTGGTTTGGTTTTAGTGTCAATAAGTTATTTTCCGTTAAAGTTTTTCTCTTGCACAAATTGTTGAACATAAAATAGATTTCGATTTTCTTTATTTTCAATTGCTTCTGCTGTTGTCGCTTGGAGCGGGCGTGGGCGTGGCAGTTGTGGGCGGGCGGCGGTAACGAATTCACTCTCATAACTTTACCCATGCAGTTGGTGCTGGCAAAAGGCTAACGAAATCAATTTTTTTGCACCCCAGTCTCTATCCTCCTGTTTTTGTTTGTTGCGGAAAGTTGTTCCGCACTCTGCCGCAAATCACTTACACTCGTCGAGTTATTAAATTTTTGCGATATTTTGTCCTATCCGGTCGATGCTCGATGGATTTGTTATTCGGTTTTTCGCCTTCTTGTTAAAGTGCTGACATTGCCGCTTGTCGAACGCGACGGCAGCTGTTTACTCCGTTGGCCTGATGGCTGCGAAGATTTTGGCAAGACATGAAAGAAGCGGTGGACTGAGAATTTCCCGGCAAACTACGCAGTTCACCCACTTGTCCCCGAATCGATACGCACAAAATGGAAAATTTATGTTCTATTTTTTGCAGAATTTTTAGAGGTGCCTTCTTTGCTTCGTAGCTTCGATGACTTTGGTTTATTTTTGGACTGCCAAACGCCTTGTGACGACTGCTCGAGATGATCTTGGTCTGCTCTGGTTCGCTCTGCGACTGAATGTTGTGCCTCTGGACGCATCAATTTATACAGCATATGTGCCGGGAGTAGCTCGCAGTGGCAGCGCGCTCGCATCCCAAACTACTCTCTATCGGGCCGCTCGCGTCTCTATTTTCCCGCTCCGATCGACGTCTTATCGGTCCGGTCGGGCCTTTCCTTTCTTTGTCTTAGGAGCAGTGGCCACACAGAGAAAAAAGATATCTTATATTTTTATTTTAACTTATCAAAATGCCCAAACAAAAAGTTCACATATTTACGTTTGGATAATTCAGCTTAAGACTCGTATCTTGTTTATATTTGACTTATACAAATACGTCCTAGTGAAAATATTCTAGATTAGTTAAAAAATATAATTTTATTAAGAAATTGTAGTAGTAAACCTTGTTAAACAAAAGTAACCAACCAACCAATTTTGGAACCTAAAATTAATTAGAATTAATTTTGAGAGAGATCAGAATACAAATCGATTAACTATTAATTTTATATATACCCTTATTAATAAAAAATAATTAAAAATTCACTGCATTTTTTTCTCTGCACTCAAATCTTTATATAAATATTGATGTTGGTATTAGGTGTTTTTATGCCTTGCCTCAACTCACTCGCAATGCATTTTATCTGACGCCATAGCAATCTGTGTGTAATTATGTTAATTATTAATTAGCATTAGCACAGTTCCTGGTTCTTGGGCCAATATCTCACTTGATTTGATCTGGCCCTGCCGCAGCTGCTGCAGAATCTGTGTACCTGAGACTCACTTGAATTTCAGGCCACCGGGAACGGTGGACACACATGAAACTAGTTTCACAGGCGACGACAGGTTTCAAAGCATCGGCATTCATGGATGTAGCAATATGTGCACAGTGATTCTCTGGTGATTTTCCGAGGGTGGATCGAAATCCTTGCTTACGCTGACCGATCGCATATGCTGGGAAATTCCACTTGATTTCGAGTGTTTGTTCTTGAGTTTATTTATTTAGCTCTTTACCTTATCACATTCGGGGTGTGGACGCGCGGTTATCAAATCTCAGCAGTCTGATGCACTCGAAAAGCGAATAAGTCGAGTGACTATAAATAATTGCCAATGGTATTTTAATAATCATTTATCGATCACATGAGTTTGGCATTGAATATGCGTTATACTGCAGATGGGACTTTTATTATTTCCCTCAAGGTACGAGCATTGTTCAACAGCCAGATAATTGCATATGCAAAAGAGAACATTGTTGTGAAGTACTAGGAAGAATCTTTTCTATGTAGTAACACCTCCAGTATCTTACCTCATATTTGTTAATATTTAAACTAGCATTTAGTATCTGTTAGCTGTTGGTGTGGCACGTTGAATTATCATGTTGCCAGAAAATAAACATAATGAAAGTAAAATTATACATTTAGATGCCTTTGAATAGATATATCAGCAACAAACAGTTATTAAAGTATAGCAGTTAGTGTTTGTTTATGTTTTGACTCCCGTTTATGACAAACTTTCCATCTCGTTTCGGCCTCATCAAGATGCTAAAATATTCTCTAAGAATGACAGACAACTTTTTGGCATCTCTACCCGCCTTTCCGCTTTGGGTGCCATCTGGATTGTACAGATTCAGATTCAAGTTCTCATATTTCGAGGGTTGTGTTTGCATTAGCTTGTTATACGCCTGATGGCTCGTTGACATGAACTATTAGCGGAAATCCGCGACTTTTGCCAACGACAAGATCGCCCAATTGAAGCGTGTGTGTGTGGCATCAAATAAAGCGTTGCAAATTATGTAAAAAAAAGTGGTTAGGCCTAGTCGGGCGATGCGTTTATCAAAACCACTGAGTGGTGTCACAGCGGTTTTGGGTCATTGACTTACCTAACTCCTACTCTCATTAGGTGCACATAGAAAAAAAAAGAAAAAAATCCAACATTGTTTGCAGTGTATGCAGGTGTTTTTTTTGTTTTCTTTAATTCTTATTAATTTACGACCTACAATTGCTTGCAGCAAACATATGTTATTTAATTAAGTGTTGCACTATACAAATATTTTGTAATCTCTTAAAATGATATATCATTTTATATGATTTATGTTATTTTGGGCACGAAAGTCTGAAAAGATTTTGTTTTAAGGAATTGTACCAACTATACCAACCGCTATCTAACATACCACCAAGTTGTATTTAATAGAAATCAGTACAAATATTAGGTCTTAGAATCAGTATTGAAATTAGCCCCAATTATGAGCTTTTGAGATATGGGAAATTTCGGCTCTATTGTTTATGGGCATTATATTTTGAATGTACTTACTGCTTCCAATTGCGATAGGCGCTGCAAAAAGTCGTGCCAGATTGATAGCGCAAAGCTAGTCATTGCTTGCAAGGTTATCATTGCGACTGGATCTTCGATAAGCGCTGGCAAATCTTCTCGTTTATTCTCTTATCTCCATAAATCTAATTGTTTGTCTTATATTTTACCTAAGCAAAGTACCCAGCAACGGATGCGCATAAATAAAAAGCTATAAGCATTTGATAAGTTAAAAAAAAACACAACTTCCACGAGAGTAAATAAATTAATAGCTATATCAGTTATTAGATTTTGAACATTAAATAATCGTTTGAATTGGAAAGCCTACAAAAAGCTAATTGTTGTATAACTTGATTGTCGGTAAAAACTGTTGTAGCAATCACCTTTTCAGTTGATGCTGAGCGGAATGAGAAGTGCCTAAAAGAAGGCAACATTTCTACCAACACCGAAAAAAAATGTATGGAAAAATACAATAATATTAGGAGTTCGATAAGTTAAGATTTTTTGAATCAAATATTCTCATTTAGAACGAAATTTTTAGTTGACGGCCTTGAACCTAGCTTTTAGGTACATTTCCAGTAACTAATAGTTCAATCAAAAGTTCCCTTTAAAACATTGCCAAAAATTAATTTTAATTAAGCCAAGAGTAATAATCAAAGAATCAATACCGCCTAAATACGATTCGGACTTCAATCAGCTAAATTGACCGTCTGATTGAAGACCCTCCAATAAGACTCTCTTGAGCGAAACCCGAGTTTTGAGTGAAGGGGTTCTATAAAAAGCGGGCTATGCTCTCCGACTTACTTCAGAAACTTGTGTCCAAGGAAAGGCAACAGACAGCCGAATAAAAGGGGAATAAACAAACCTAGATAAACACCAAATCAAAGGGAAATGTGTATGAAACGGTTCTCGATCGGCGGTGTTTGCTTTCTGTAATTTTATTTCGCGCAAACAGTGTACAATTTAAAAGTTTCTCAAAACTTAATTGTTTGATTTTAAAGTGTTTGTTTTTGTATTCGCTGCTTAAAAGCTATTAATTGTGCTTTTGTGTCCATGGTGCCGATTGATAACATTCTTCAAAATCACGTCTATCTCATCCAGGTCAAAAAATACTTAAAAGGTATCAATATTGTAATATTAAAATTGTTTTAAAAAGGCCTTTGCCTTGGCAAACAATTGGCCCCATCAATTGCCGCTGGATAAATATTAATATACAGTTTGCTGAAATCTTAATATGTGATTGCATCAGCTGGAAAACTGAGCGAAGTACAGCCTTAACTCTCTGTAAATGAAGTTGTAAAATATTTTGTTCATTATTGTGGATTTCAAAATAAACATACATTCGATGTTTTAAATCTAAGTAGTAAATTTGTAAGCGGCTTAAGTTTGTGTCAACGGTTTGCTTTAAGGAATTTATACTGTATACTTACGTTCTGCAGTGGCTCGTGCCGCAGTTCTGCAATTCAGCGTTTTAGATTTCAATAATTCAGACCGCTACCGGCGTCAATTTGAATTCGAATTTGAGGAGCGTCTGGGAATGTGTGCCGCTCGTCTCTAATTTTTTGCCATTATTATCTTGTTTCCAGCAACGCATTACGATGAAAGATTTGAAAACGGAGACCCCAGCGAGCGGCTGTCCCTCGAATCTAGAGACCAGCAGGGTAAGTGCATCGAAGAGAAACTTCTAAGGTTACCCAAACATCCAAGTAATGAGGGCTACACTTAAATAATAACAAAAACAATGAAGTCAATATTGTTATAAACAATGTATTTTATACTATTTTCATTAAAAGAAAACATTCATTGATCCATTAAAAATTAATTGAATTTCTAAGCCATAAAGACTTGGGTATAAAGAAATTAAACAAAGAAGTCAATTTTAGAATGAAACGAAATCTAATACTTTTGTTTAATGCTTATCCTAAATATGCGTTAGATTAACAAATTGATAAGGGAGATTAAATTAGTAGATTTGCTTATAAAATAAACAAGAAAGAAATTAAAAATAAAACATTGAACAGACTATACTTGAACTTAAAAATGTTTGGGTCTAAATATCTAAATCAAGCTAACAAAAAATATATCATTTCGGGTTTTACGTTATAATCGATTTTAAAATACTTATTTAATTTGTTTTCAGTGTGGTAGCAGTGGAGAGGCGCTGCTAAATCATTCCGTGCAGCCCGTGGCGTTGGAATCGTCTGAGCTAGTCCCGGATCAGAAGGCCCGCGACAACTGGGGCAGTTCGCTGGAGTTCCTGATGTCCTGCATCGCCCTGAGCGTGGGATTAGGCAACGTGTGGCGTTTCCCATTCACGGCCCTGGAAAATGGAGGAGGCGCCTTCCTAATTCCCTATCTTATCGTCCTTTTTGTGGTAGGAAAGCCGATTTACTACATGGAGATGCTGCTGGGCCAGTTTTCCAGTCGTGGCATCGTGCAGGTCTTTGACTTTGCACCCCTCATGAGAGGTAAGACGATAACCAAAACGTTTAGCAACTAAGAAACAACAAACAACAGCCAACTATGTTTTACAGTTTTCTTTTCTATATAATTCGGCTACAATGGCAACCGTCTTCATTGCAACTTTTTTTACAACAAATTTTCAAAACAATAACATTGAAATTCAAATGAAACTTATTTAGCATACATTATTTTTTGTTTGTCAGTAGATGTCCGTATATATGAGCCGAGCCATCGACATAAACCTTATTATTTTTAATTTTAATTAGAAGTATGCTACGCAGTAAAGGAGACTTTTGCGACTTTAACAGGTATATATATTTTTGATCAGCAACACTAGGTTTAGTAACTGTGTCCGTTAGTTTCTTAGTTTAAAAACTTTTTGATTGTTACTCATTTAATATTTAATCGAAACAAAAACACTTTTTAAAGAGGTTAGTAAATAAGACAAAATATATACCATGATTATGAAGCGACCTATTTAATTTCAAACTTTGTAATTTTCAGGTGTAGGCTATGCCCAACTTTTGGCCCTTGGCGTTCTGGCCACATACTATGCCTCGGTGATGGCCCTAACGTTGCGATACTTCTTCGATTCCTTCGCGTCGGAGCTGCCCTGGAGCTACTGCCGTCCGGAGTGGGGTGACGGGTGCGTGAGTGCATCCGGAGGTCGGCCTTTCGAGGGTCAGCTGCAGCGAAACTTCAGCTCCTCCACGCAGCTCTACCTGCAACGCGTCGTGCTGAACGAGACGGAGTCGCTGGACCAGGGAATAGGTTATCCCAGTGGTAGCTTGGCTCTAATGCTGGGGCTGTCCTGGCTAACAGTTACGCTGATCATCATCAGGGGCGTGAAGAGCTCCGGCAAGGCGGCTTATGTCCTGGCTCTGTTTCCATACGTCGTCATGTTCATCCTGCTCGTGAGAGCCTTGACTTTGCCGGGGGCCTACGAGGGTGTAATGTACTTCCTGACGCCCCAGTGGGGCAAACTCCTGGAACCGGAGGTGTGGTACAATGCCGTGACCCAGGTGTTCTTCTCACTGGCCGTCTGCTTTGGCGTGATCATCATGTACTCGTCGTACAACCGATTCGGGCACAATGTGTACAGGGATGCCAACATCGTGACCACTCTGGATACCTTCACCTCGCTGCTCTCGGGGGTGATTATCTTCGGAATTTTGGGTAATCTGGCCCACGAGTCGGGCACCAAGGACATTGCCAGTGTGGTGAAGGCAGGTCCTGGACTGGCCTTCATCTCCTATCCCGACGCCATTGCCAAGTTCAAGCTGCTGCCGCAGGTCTTCTCGCTACTCTTCTTCGTCATGCTCTTCATGCTGGGCGTGGGCAGCAATGTGGGCATGGTCAGCTGCATCATGACCGTGCTGAAGGATCAGTTCGTGAACGTCAAGCTGTGGATCATCGTGGTCTGCCTCTCGTCAATTGGATTTCTTGTGGGTCTGATCTACATCACGCCCGGCGGTCAGCACATCATCACACTGATGGACTTTCACGGCGTGACCTTTGTGTCCCTAGTGTCGGCCATCTTCGAGCTGATCGCCGTGGGCTGGATCTACGGCACCAAACGCCTCTGCCAGGATGCCGAATACATGCTGAACATCAAGACCTCCAACTACTATCGGATATGCTGGTCCATTGTCACGCCGTTGGTTATGGTTGTCATCCTGGTGTACAGCCTGCTAACCATGCGTCCACTCAGCTACAACGGACAGGAGTTCCCGCTGTCCTATAGAAGTGAGAAATGTTGCTGCTTTAATTTAAGATTGCCTTTAACATGTTTTCCTTTCAGTTTTCGGCTGGTGTGTTTCTGGCTTCATTATTGGCCAGCTGTTCTACTGGGCCTTCTATGCCAACTGCAAGCAGCCAAAGGGAACGCTGAAGGGTCGCATAAGCCATTCAATTAAGCCGCACTCCGATTGGGGTCCTCTGGACTCCAAGAAGCTGATGGACTACCAGATGTTCCTGCGCCACAAGGACGAGAACGATTCCATGCTCCCAAATCGTGGCTGTGTTTGCATTACAGTTGTGGATCGCATTTTTGGTTGAGTCAGCATTTGTTATCATGTTCTGTCGTCTTTAAAGCATAGTTCCTTTTTTTTGCATTCATTCCTAATTGGAAATTTTGTATGGCAGCTTGTACTTAATTTTATTTTACATACGTTTTTATTTATACAAAAATGAAATCAAACAAAAATCAATTAACTCGAAAGTTTGCTCTTAAGCAATTCCAATTGCTGCCAGACTGAATTTTCGGTGTTTCATTTTTGCAATGTCAGTTATTTGTTGTTTTGTTTTTAGCATTTGGCCAGACGGCAACAAATTGCTTCGGCTGGCCGAAGGTAAGACAACTGTATCTAAGGAATTTTCAATATTTAAAACTAACAATTAGCAAGTCTGCATTTGTCTCAGTCTCCGAACGGACATCTCAGTGCACAGACATTTATTCGAGTTTCAATTTGTTTTGCAAGTTTGACACACTTTGCATACAGTTTGCCATCATTGTTGCTGCTTTTGCTGCCGCCGTCCATCTGGCCATCTTCATTCGCCAGTTTTGTCTGCGGCAGTTGAAAATTAATATGTCGGTTCTCTGGACCTGCAAATGTCTTAACTAAAAGTTATTTTGGCCATTCCTTTTTTCCAACCGTTTGGCCTGGCGGTTGGGCAAGTGGAAATGGCTTCTAAATGCGTTTTGCTAAATGCACATAGAGTTGTCAAGGACAGTCGCGTTGGGTTTGCTTGACATTTGAGCGCTGAGCGCTGACAGCCGCATTACGTATACGCCGCGTGGATATGCCCCATCGCTTGCAGAACGAATGAATCCAGAGACAACGGCAAGGAAATTAAAAAAGTTAGCCTCTAAATGGCTTGCGCTCTGATTTCACTGCAAAAGGTGCAAGAAACAATATCAACAAGGAAAGAACTTGCCAGCAACAAGCAACTAACAAGCATTGAAGCTTAATAATATCCTCCTTTAAGGAGCCTCCTCCTGCAGCGCGGCTGCAGCTAATGAAATAACTTTGTGGCAACTTTTGCATTGCCTTGCCGGAATTTGCTTAAAGCGTAGAGCGCAAATAAAATTGCCGAGATTGCAGTTACTCGCAATCAAAGGCGTTCGAAATATTTTAACGGCGCGGGTAAATAAACGTTTGGCTTTAAGCGAGCTGCCGCTCAAATCATTTACAATAAGCGGAAATAATTTGCCGAGAGCCCAGTGGGTCGGTGGTTTGTTGGCGTTGCGGTGCACTGATGCACATAACCGAAAAAGAGGAAACAATTGAGGGCAATTTATTAAACGGCTGCACGGCTTGCAGCGGACAGTTGCTGGGGATTGGGGATTGGGGAGCATCAAAACGAGTGCGAAACAAATCCACGCAAAAGGGAACATAAAAACGCGGTATATAGAGCAATCGCGGAATGCTTTAAACTTTCATTTTCGCAGACTATCCACTATGAATATTTTAATAAAACTCATTGAAATGCGCTGGAGTACTGGAAAACCAATGAGCTCTTTAAACTCGTAATAAGCATTTTAGAAACTATGCTTAAATGGATCAAAGATTAAGTTGAAAACCTAGCAAATTTTAATGGAAGGAAGGAAAACTGCATTCTTAGCTTTGTCTGACCTTACTTTACTTTTCACTTAAAAAACTAAAATCTAAAAACTTGTGTTTGGACTTTGGTTCCTATTATAAACACAAAAGTAAATCATTTACATTTTATGCTATATTCCAAATTTATGCATCCTTAGTTTTTGTTTCAAATGCTTTTAAAGTTATTAACTAAATAATACAATATTCAAATATAATTGTATTTGTTTTAGATAACTACTTTTCTCTTACAAAACGAGAAAGTTTCAATTTAGATTTTGGTACGCAAATTTAAATTACTTTTCTAAGAAGTGAATTTATACTTTAAGCTGTGCCTAAAATGTTTGTACGTACTTTTTTGTGTAATTTCGGTGCTTTAAGGTCGCAGGACTTTGTTAAAGGCTCCTTGTTTTTTTAAGGTGACCAAAGGAGGTAAAGTGGTGTTCACGGCGGGAGTGCAAAAGCTGCTCGTCATGCGTGCTGGCAGCGGGAATCGTTCTGTGACGTTTTCAGCGTTTTTGTTTTGCACTCTGCCAACTTCAGGGTCTCACCAGGACCCATTGCCCCTGCCATTGCTCCTCCTCATCGTCATCGTCACCGTCATCGTCATAGTCATAGTCAGTGGCATTGCAGGCTGCGTCTACGTCTAGCTGGCTACGTGAGCCGCTTGAGTGATTCACCTGCTCGCCGACATTTGCATTTTGCATGCCGGAGCGACTCCTGCTCCTGACGGAGGCGAAGGTCCTTGCTGCATTGCTGCCGACTGCTGGCTGTTAGCTGATGGTAATGGCTGTGACACGCATTAGGGAATTATTTTACACACCTCGCATGTGGCGGCCATTAAAGGCGCTGCTGCTGACGATTTGATTTGTAGGCCACACACCTAAAAAAAAAAAACAGGCAGGTGAGACATGCAAAGCCAGTGGCGCTCCAGAAACTCTCCAAAAACACCAGCCAATGCCAAGTGGAAAATAGAAAATGCAAAAGTCGATGCCAAAGCCGTCAGCTGCAAAAAGCTTGCCGCACCTTTTATTGTAATCTGCATTTAAGTGGCTTTCTTTTGTGCTGCTCCATTTTAGGGTATGGGAAATTTACTATTTTCTTTTTTTTTTTTTTTGCTGCCCCTTTTGCACCTTTCAATTTGGCGCACTTTTCTTGGCGACCATTGGCAGCAATTTTTCGGCTAACTGCCGCTCGTTTGAAATGCTAATATGCAACTTTGACGCGATTGTCGAGCACCGTTTGCCGTTTTGCCGGCAATTGCCAGACAATTTTATTTTCGTTACGCTTATGGGCGAGATAAGGGCCGGATGCAATTTTCCCCACCAGGGAATCCAAAGAAGCTTGCCCATCCTTAAAGCCATCCCAGTTGTTTTAAGTGGCTTTAAGGACCGTTTTGGCACCGCTCGCAGTGCTCGTCAAACTGTAATGCTGAATTTCAGACTGCAAGCGAATTACTTTCGGCATCCGGCAAATTGATTGCCATCTGAGTGCCGCAACTCGTCCGCTTTTCCTCCATTTCTGCCCCATTCCGTTGCAATTTTCGTACAATGCAACGTTTGACCCGAAAGCGCCACCACCTTCTCCGACCTTTGTATCCTTATTTTTTCTTCCCGTTTTTTCGTTCGTGTAGCATTTTCAGTGCATGCAAATATACGTGAACGTAAAAATTTCCATATAAACTGCAACTCGCTTTCCGGCAATTCAAGTGCAAATATGTTGGCATGCCGCACTTGAGTGTCAAGTTGCCGGCACATGAAACGCAATTGTTATGAATTGGCCGTGCTAGGTGACTCGACCACGCCTCCCGCCCACAACAAACAGGACTATATGTATATATGTGTGCTTTTGCATAAGAAGGTGTTGGGGCAGAGGCGAGGCCACAGTATGCAAATGCAAATGGATAGATCAAACAGACGTCATCACAACCGAATGCTGATTGTTTGACGGCATTTAAAAGCAAGTGCCGAAATTTATTTTCACTCTTCCCAAAATAAATTGAGTTGCTGGCCAGCACTCCTGATGAAATGCGTACTTTTCTCAGTGAGAGTTTATTTTGAGAATGCTGCTTACGGCACAGAAAAGTGAAATATCAACAATATTAGTGACTGTCGTACTTTAAGGCATATATGAGCTTACTGGTTTGCAAGTGGAGATCGTCAAAGAAATGTTTTGAATGGATAAGGTAGACAAATTAAAATAAACATGCTTTGTGCATGCCAAAATAGCCTACTTAATTGAAATCGTGATCATTCTTTGACTTCAAATTTTTTTATAAGTTAAGTTTTCTTAAAAACAATTTAAAAAATTAATTTCATAACATATTATCTTAATTAATGGACACATATGTACCCTAGCCTATTATGAATATTTATTGTAGACAGTTTTCTATAAAGCCTTATATTAAATCTCCAATGTATTGTGTTTTATATGTGTTTAAAAGTATAAATGAGAATATGTATATATGTACCCTAGCCTATTATGAATATTTATTGTATCCTAAGAATAAGAATATATAAAATCTTTCACTTACAATGTTTTCTATTTGTTTCAAACTATAATTGAAAATTGTTTGTTGTTATTGTTAATTATACTGGCTACTGCTATTGGCTTAGAAATCAGACTTGTATTCAAGTCAAAGGTTTTTCAACAGTCGACGTGAAAATCAAGAAGTAAAGATAGGCTGATAACCTGTCTGAGCAGCTAACTGGCCAATTTGTTGTTCCGACTCAGAGCTAAGCTCTGGCAACATATGGCCTCTATCAATCGGATAATGCTCAGCCATATCCCAGAGTCTTAGGACATTCGATCTTCGGTTAGGCGGGCACTTGTTTACTCCGTTTCCACACGCTTTGTTTGCACCTTTGTGCTGTTATTGTTTGTGTCAGCAGGCAGAGCAGAGCCGAGTCTAAGTCCCAGTTTCGGTTCCACTTGGAGTCGCAGTGCCAGTCTCTGGGGGCTAAGCCCGAGCTGGAGGACAACAAGTGCAGCTGTCAGAAAGAAGTTTACTGGCCAAACGCACTGGCGAGCGGAACTGAAAATAACAAATGTGTAAGTGAAGTGGGGAAGGGGAAAGCTGAGGGAAAGCTGGGGGAAAGCTGGGAGAAAGGCCTGGGAAAAGCCAGGAAAAAGCGAAGGGACAACAGCTGCAACAGCTGGTTCCCGTTCATGTTCTGCTGCTGGTTGTGTGATCCTGGCCACAGAAACGTTGATTGGCCAGCGCCGGAAAAAGAAGTTATAACCATCAAGGCGGAAACGGATGTGGCACAGACGTTTCCGTTTTTTCCCCAGTCAACTGCACTCGCACACACTCGAAATTATATTTGAACCCGGCACATGCAGTGCATACTTTTCGGGCACACAGAACGCCCCCATTTTCCCCCATTTTCCCCTTTTCCCAACCCTTTTCTCTTCCTTTCTTTCCTGCGGCAACACCGCACAATGCCTGTCAAATAAAATCATTTTGCATTGCAGAAATACAAATAGGAAAAAAGATGAGGGAACACTCAACTGCGTTTAGCGGCAAACCGCAAGCACTTCTAATCAAAATATTAAAGAATTTCTTTATGGCTGCGTCTGCGGTTTGCTGTGAGCTGCAAAAATATTTAAATTCTGCAACAATTCCAAGAGTTGCCTTCTAATTGAATGAGCCCTTGTCTTGGACTTTGTTGTGGCTTTCCGCCCACAT